AGTTGCTTGTTGGTCCGTTTGTTGTTAAAGGGGGTCAAGGAAAGCCAAAACAAATTCCCTTACTAGAGACCTGTTGGGTTTACAAGTATTTCAGGCTTTACCAGTTTTGCCTTGAAGCTGCCTGCACTTTAGCTAGTTGGCTTGCAAATATTGCAAGCACCTCTTTCAACATTTTTCCACAGTGGCTCTTTGAAGCCTGTGAGCCAACTTGTGAGGGTGCTGCTATCTGCTCTGGCAGGTGCAGCAAAACATCTATCTTTAAATAAGCACCTGAAGGCTTAAGAGCACTTTCTATCCAAGACACTCCGCTGAAATAACCTTTGCTCAAAAGCCCATGTCTTTGTTTGATAAAATGTTTAACCCCTTCCTTTCCATAAATAAAGAACTGTCCATATAATTGAGTACCAACTTAGACTTCCTCACTGCCTTTTCACCTTAAACTTCAATTCCAGTCTGAGCCCTGAACTGTGAATGTGTAAGTATTGAGCAAAGTTTTGCTTCAAATATTTAAAGGAAAAACTTGCCTTTGGACAAATAGATGAGAAGCGCCCTCCCCAACCCGATATTTTTGGCACACAGAAGTTGTTAAGTCTCTGTGTTGCTGGAAAAAAAAAGTCTGTTATTATTCTGTCAAAAGATATTGTGGTTTTCTATGGAGCATTATGGTCAGCTATGAGCACTTGGGTTTCATCATAGAGAGAAAATAATTGTGTGTAGTCTGTGTTTCCCAAGAGCCCATAGCAGTCTAGGATTATCCAGTTGTAAGGAACTGGATCTGAACAAAAACAACCTAATAAACCATCAAAAACACAGTATTTTTTTCATGAGTGCTTTCCTTGTGACTGAAAAGTACTTCTGCTGTTCACTTTCATCTATCTCTCTCCCTCTGCCATTTCATATACTCCTCATTGCTGGAAAGAAATGCACAAAATTTTTGGCTGGGTGAAGGTACTTCTCCACATTGTCAACATGTCTTCCTCAGGCATTTCCCATAAAATGTAAGGGATGAGAATATCCTGCAAAGCTACTCACTTAATTTTGAGGTGTTGGCAGATTTAGGAAACCTACAGTTGCAAGCTGCTGTAACTATTTTTTTATCTATTTTTAAATTTATTCCAAGTGCCATTTTGGATGAACAGAAAGCCCAGTACCATGGTATTCTGGGAAATGGTGCCATGTCATGGCATAGCATTGTTTGAAGGGGTCTTTTGTGCAGGAAAAAGCTGTCAGATCCCAATTAAGAAGATGTTCACAAAGTGAAGAATCTAAGTCTTCAGGCCTTGAAGATGATTGTCAGCAATCTTCATTTTGACAAGATTTTTCATTATTAACGGATTTTTTCTCTGGGTCTTTTACTGTCACCAGCCCAGGGCTCCTGTCATCCACTCTGTCCTTGAAAATCCTGAGTTTGTTTTTTGGTCCCTAAAGCATGTGCAACACAGGACAAGCAAGTATTCTAATTTGGTTGCACAGCCAGATCCTCTTATAAACTCTCAAGTGAACGTCTGAGGCAGTCATCTTTTTAAGGGTAGTAATAAATATATTTTTAAATAATGGTACATTTTGACATCAAGCAACTACAATGGTTTTGTCACTATTTCGATGTGAGAGCTTGTTTTAATACCAGTGTGGCAGTGTATCTCAAAGTCTTTTCTCAAACATGTGATCACCATCTCCTTCATCTACCCACATGAGCCAATCTAATTTCCATCTAGCCCCCTCTTTTTCTCATCTATGTTTCTAATTATTTACCCTGCATGACAGTTAAACAGCCAAACCTCTCTATTTGCAGTAGTTTCTTCATGCTCCTTCCACAACATTCCAAGAAACCCTCACTCATATAAACACCTCACTTGTATGTGGATGTGAATATATGTACACACACACCTGCTAAGAATCCTTTTGTGTTGCTTCTCATTATGATGCCATATTCTAATCAAACTTAAATATCTCCTCCTCAAAAAGGAGACAGAAAATAATATAAAGGCAAGAAGCAATGTAAGAACTTTGTAAGAACTTTTTCTTCCCATCCCTGCAGTGACTAGTAGCAAAAGGATCCTTTCCAAACATTGTAATGATAATGGGAATTAATTTATTTTAGAAAGCAATTCTCCATCTCTGTGAAAAAGCTGTGAATGCCATTTTTGTTGTCCTGAAACTCATTTTAACAATGATGTGATCCTACATTTTACCTACTGTACATTGTGTAGCAGTAGGCTTTTCATATTTCACGAGCACCTCATAAAGTATGTGTCCAAGACACCCATCAATGTATGTATTTCATAGGATGTGCTATTCAGAGGTGGCTTGCCTCTGCCTTCTTCTGCAAGTAAGTACTGATGATTTTAATTGGATAAGTAGCCTCTGTGTTGGTAATATGGGAGCTATAATATTCAAAAATTAGACTGCATTGACACGCAATTTCTTGTCTGCATTTTCAGGGGCAGGCTAAAAAAGGGGAAATCGCATTCTACTCATCACCCAATAGAAGATATAGATTCTATATAAAATCCCAGAGATAGAAAGATAGTATCCAGTAATAAACTAGTGGTGAGACAGCCCTGCAAACGACAGTATTTTATGAGCTTCAGTGAAAAAGTGAAATTCCTAAGTCGTTATTTGTTAAAAGAAACCAATTAGATCACTAAAATAGATAAGTACTACCCATTACAACAGAGCGCCATAGTGTAAAATTAATAGATTAAGCCAGTTCAGAACAAATCTACATTGATGGATGGATGAATCCGTTAAGGAATGATTTTTGTAAATCAGCCTGCATTCTTTCAGCAGTCATATTGTTGAAGCAAACAGGAACATACTTTAAAACAATCACTATCATACTTAACTGCAAATTCAAATGCTATGTTCAGCAAAAGACAAGAGGGATCATCTCACTTCTGCAGGAGTCTACTGTATACCATGCAGCTGTGCACAAGTCTACATAGGGACCACCAAACGCAGCATTGCCCAAACATGAATCAAGGAACATGAAAGGCACTGCAGACTACTTCAGCCAGAGAAGTCAGCCATAGCAGAGCACCTGATGAACCAACCTGGACACAGCATATTATTTGAGAACACAGAATTGCTGGACCACTCTCACAACCACCATGTCAGACTACACAGAGAAGCCATTGAAATCCACAAGCATGTGGACAATTTCAACAGAAAGGAGGAAACCATGAAAATGAACAAAATCTGGCTACCAGTATTAAAAAAACTCTAAAATTACAACAGCAAAACAACAGAGAGGAAACAATCTGGAACATCTAATCACCTCTCAACAAAAGATTGCCCCAGGCACTGCCAGGCCATCAAATGCTAATCAAGGTGGTCAGTTGAAACATTCACACCTAGCTCCAGCAGACAAGAGTTTTTGTCCCACCCTTGTCATTCCACAAATATATAAACCCATTTTCCTAGGTCCAACAGACCTCACTACCTCTGAGGATGCTTGCCATAGATGCATCTAGAACAGGGGTCCTCAAACTTTTTAAACAGAGGGCCGGGTCGCGGTCCCTCAAACTGTTGGAGGGCCGGATTATAATTTGAAAAATCTATATAAATAAAAATGTAATGTTCGTTTGTGGGATTAACATAACTCAAAAACCACTGGACGAATTGACACCAAATTTGGACAAAATACATCTATCAGGCCAACAAGTGACTATCACTCATAAAAACACTGAAAAACACAGCGGAAGAGACTTAAAAAGCAACATCCCCCCAAAATACATTACAATACATGCGCAAAACCATATATATATATATACACAAACACACACATCTATGCATATACACACACAAAACGCATACACAGAAAGGGGGAAAGAAGGAAGGAAAGAAAGAAGGAGGGAGAGAAGGAGGCAAAGAAGGAGGGAAGGAGAGAAAGAAGGAAAGAAAGAAGGGTAGAGAAGGAAGGCGAGAAGGAGGGAGAGAAAGAGAAAGAAAGGGAAAGAACGGGGGAAGGAGAGAAAGAAGGGTAGAGAAGAAAGGAGAGAAATAAAGAGGGAAAGAAGACGGGAAGAAGGAGGGAAGGAAAGAAAGAAGGGTAGAGAATGAAGGAAGGGGAGAAGGAGGGAAAGAAAGAGAGAAAGAAAGAGGGAAAGAGGGAAAGAAAGAAAGGGGAAGGAGAGAAAGAAGGAAAGAAAGAAGGGTAGAGAAAGAAGGAAGGAGAGAAGAAAAGAGGAAAAGAAGAAGGGAAGAAGGAGGGAAGGAAACAAAGAAGGGTAGAGAATGAAGGAAGGGGAGAAGGAGGGAGAGAAAGAGAGAAAGAAAGGGAAAGAAGGGGAAGGAAGGAAAGAAAGAAAGAAGGGTAGGAAGGAAGGAGAGAAGGAAAGAGGGAAAGAAGGAGGGAAGGAAAGAAAGAAAGAAGGGTAGAGAATGAAGGAAGGAGAGAAGGAGGGAGAGAAAGAGAGAGAAAAGGGAAAGAAGAAGGGGGAAAAAGGAGGGAAGGAGAGAAAGAAGGAAAGAAAGAAAGAAAGAAAGAAAGAAAGAAAGAAAGAAAGAAGGGTAGAGATTGAAGGAAGAAGGGGGAGAGATTGAAGGAAGGAGGGGGAGAGAAGGAGGAGGAGAGAGGGAAAGAAGGAGGGAAGGAGAAAAGGAAAGAAAGAAAGGTAGAGAAGGAAGGAGAGAAGGAACGAAAAAGAGAAAGAGGGTGGGAAGGAAGGAAAGAGACAAGGAAGGATGGAACCAAAGAGAGAACATCAGGAGAGAATGCTTCTGGAACACAGCCATACAGCCCAAAATCAAAGATGATGTCTGTGTGTGTGTGTGTGTGTGTGTGAAGGGAGGGGGTTCTTGCCCAGCAGAGGAGGAGGAAGAGGAGGAGGAGGAGGGTCTTGGCGGGTGCTTCCCTGGTGGAAGGAGACCCCTCCCTCCCTCGCTCGCTCCCTCCGCACTGACCCCCTCCCTCTGCTCCTTGCCTTGCCTTGCAGGGAAGCCCATGGAGTCCCCGCCCTGAGAGGCTCGGGAGGCGCACCATGCCTGAGACGCGGCTGCTGCTCCGCCTGGCTTTGCTCTGCAGATGCACGCAGCTCGTGGCCCCTTCCCAAAGGCAGAAAAGCTGGCTTGGCCCAGGGAGGAGGAGGACGAAGCGGCCCCGAAGCTGCTTCACCCGCAGCCTCCTCCCCTTCTCCTGCCGCCGGCAGGAGAAGAGCCAGCTGGGCCCAGGGAGGCGGAGGACGAAGCGGCTCCGAAGCTGCTTCGACCGCCGCCTCCCCCACCTTCTCCACACCCTGCGGGCCGGATACATGCCCTCGGGGGACCGGATCCGCCCCCGGCCCTTAGTTTGGGGACCCCTGCTCTAGAACATGGCCATATAGCCCGAAAAAACCTGCAACCACCCAGTGATTCTGGCCATGAAAGCCTTGGAAAATACATTGCAAATTCACTGTTGTGCCACCAGTTTGAAAAGAGCCACTATCACACTTGCTTTAGGCTTTCTTGTAGTTTAGATATTGCACGCATATACATACAGATGTCTGCCAGTTGGAAAGGCCAAGTAACAGCAAAGACTCTTGCAGTGTGAATCCTTCTGTCTCTTTTTCTTCTGTTTGGTCTATTTGCAAAATACCCCTTGCTCTGTTGGTGAGGAAAATATTATTGGCAACTGAGGGAAGGAAAGGCAGAGGGAAAAAGTGAAATGGGAGCTAACCTTTCTTTTTCCCTTCCCCAGGGCTCACTGTTCTGCACAGAAGTAAAATAAATTTTAGCCTGTTTGAGAACAGAGAGGAAAAGAGACAAGAAGAGGAGGAGAATCACATCTACTCATACCACATAGTTGCTGGTGTTAGAACTGCAGGAGAAAGCATACACACCACATTGGAGGCAGGGGTAGAAAGCAGTGATATTTTGAGACATTGGCAGATTTTTGCTATCAGTGAATTCCACCAATGAATTAATTGCAAAGCAGCAACAGTACAGACATGACATCATGTGGTAAGTACTGTCTAAAATAGAACTTTCCAACCTGTGTGTCACAATACGTTAGTGTGTCATTTACAGTGTGTAGGTGTTTCACAGAAATGTAAAGAGAAACCTTTGCATCTATGTGAAATAAACAATAAATAATGTATTTTAAAAAATAGAAATGGAAGATTTCAATGAGATATGTTGTGTCCCCATACATTTTGTTACAATTTATGCCTCTTTTATAAGGGGTGGGTTTAACCTCCAATTTGCTAGTAAAACCAAACGACTGTGTCATGTAATGATGCATGTATAAAAATGGTTTGTCACTAACATTAAGTGTTTGGAAACCTCTGGTCTAAAGACATTATTATCCTGCTGTAATCACGATTTACCAGCCTCCTGTGATAAAGCCCTACATCTAATAGGAAATATCACTTTTGGTATACCTACCAGTAATTTTGTCAGAATTCAGAATCCAAGCAGGGTTGGGTCTGGCTCATTTTTTAAAGAGAGATCACTAGGGGCTTTTGCAGAATGCAAAATTAGAGTCCTTTGTTTCTACCTATACATTTTGGTCTAAATCCTATGGAATCCTGAGGTTTTCAGTTTAGGGAAGGTATATAGAATTCTCAGAGTTTTGTATCTTATCAAATTACAAACCAACAGGATGCCTCCATAGATATAGTATTTTAATTCAGTATTGTGAAAGGACCTCAAGTCGCTACCAAGAATTTCCAGATAAGATTCAGCAAGAAGTCTGTCTGAAACTCATCATTATGAATGGGTTCCTGAGTTAATACGTACAACACAATAGCCCACTTGTACACAAAAAGACAAACAAATCAGTTCAGCTAATTATGTGACTGGTGAAACTTATTATACAGTTCCAAATCATAGCGTTCACAAAACAATATTATGTGCATTTGGTACAGTCACTCAAAGTATCAACGCTGTATGTTCTTGCATGAAGTTGAGCATAAATTTGTAGTCCATCAAAATTTTGTAAAGTATTGACTCTGGAGTGATTCCTGATTTTACTCTTATGTTCAATGATTCTAGATCTTACTTCTCAGTGAGTTTGACCCACATATGACAGATGGCATGCACAGGAGATCAAATAAATTATTCCCCTGGTGGATCAGGTTGCAAAATGAGAAAATTTAATTTCAAATGATAAATGCTGGTGTGTGAAAATTTTAGTTTCCACCAATTGATGACACACCGAACAATGATGACATCGAAAATTACCCACCAAATTTGACCCAGTTGTTTGTGAATTGTACATCTGAATATATCAATATATCTCCAATGTTTTTGGTTCTTTTATATGCTATCATATCTTTTATATGCTATCTTTCACTTCCTGGGATATCATTTATAAGATTCCAGTATTTCCTAACTGTTCTAATGGACAGATTAGACATATTTGTAAGGGTAAGTAGCCATATCAGTCTTTCAATTCTTTGTCTAATGTTGTCCTCTAAGAGTTTTGATCTGGGAATATTGGCAGCCCTTAAAAAAGATGATTGTATTATGTTTTCTGGATATCCTCTGTTTCTGAACTGACGTTTCGTTACTTCGATCTCATTATCGAAGTCTTGTTGAGTCGAGGAGTTACGTTTAATCCTGAGCATATGTGTATAGGGTAAATAGGGCTATTGTGTTGTACGTATGAAACTCAACATTGTCATTGCTACTCAGAATTTCACAATATTAGGTTTGATAGACTACTTACTTAGGTGATCCCTTGTTGATCGAGTATGATGGCCTTCCAGGTGTTTTGTCTTGGCAGTGGATATGTAGGTGACAGTGGAGCCCTATTCTTGTTCTGCATGTGCTTCCACAGTAAGGCATCAGTTTCCCGGTGGAAGGCAGTTCTTACCAGAGTTGGTTTGATGTGCCTTTCTCTTGGCACATTTCTCCATTTTACCCTCCATTCATGCCTCTTCAAATTCCACAGCACTGCTGGTCACAGCAGGTAGAGTAGTCAGGGGCCAGGGCTCCCCAGTTCTCGGTGTCTATGCCATGGTTTTTAATGTTAGCTTTAAGCCTATCCACCAACATTCCATTTTCCGTTCTTGAGTTAGGAGTATAGTAACTGCTTTGGGAGACAGTGATTGGGCATTCAGACAACGTGGCCAGTCCAGCATAGTTGATGGCTTAGGACTATAGCTTCAGTGCTATAGTCCTAAGCTTTTTCCAGTATGCTGACATTTGTCCACCTGTCTTCCCTAGAGCTTTGCAGGATTTTTCGAAGGCAATGCTGATGGAATCGTTTCAGGAGTTGAGTGTGACATCTGTAGACAGTCCATGTTTTGCAGGCATATAATAGTGTTGGGAAGGCAATATTGTTATAAACAATGCTCCAGCTCAATATAAGACAGCTTCCTGTTTGCTTAACTTTATGTGCAAAATACTTTTGGATAAAAAAGTTAGGCTTCTATAAAAATTATTAACCAGAATGTTTCTGAAAGCCGAGCATCCCACTCATCCACAAATTTAATATTAGATTTAACCAATGTAATATTTGCCTCATGTTTATAAACAAACAATATTTTGCTAAAAGATAAGCATATTGCACAGCATTAATACTGACACTTTCAGCGATGAAAATCTATTCCTTTTTCTGACATATCTAAGCATATTATAGGAACATTGTTTAGACCATTTTTCACTGAACTCGAGAGATAAAATTAAGATGTTAATAGTTTGGAAAACATCATTTGAAGAACACATGCCTTTAATCAATTCTGAGTTTGGCTTGAACATATGGAATTTAAAATGAAAAGCTTGTCTGTTTTCTTCTGGCAGACCTTTTTTTCAGTTTTACTTCCCCTTCTTCATTCCCATCAGTCATACAGGAAATTTGATTTGTGCTTAAATCCTGATTTCTTTGATTTCTTTATACTATTTCCCAAATTGGTAGATATATGTCATCAATACACGTCTTCTTCAACCGTCATAGTTTTATGGAAAATGTCTTAAGGCAAACAGCTAATTTGACATTTTATTTCATACTTGAACTATTGTTATTCTATGGGATAACTGTTTTACTTAGGGAGAAATGTAAATTATCCCATCAAACATGTAATTGAGCATCATAATGCTGGAAATAATAACATTTCATTATGTATACTGCCATGATTGTAGACTAACTGGCCATTATTGATCTCATGCAATGAGCACTCTGGTCTCTGTAATATATCTTTCCTATTTTTACACTGCAACATTAGATATTTATTCTATTCATTATGTAAGTGTCACCTTGGTACAGGTAGATAGGAAAACAGCAAAGTGGCATAGCTTAAAACTAGGAATTTAATGGATATTAAGCTTTGATTATAACATTGCATTATTGTTAAATAATGAAGATTTTTAAAATAGCCAAAAGATGAACGAGAAAAAAATCATCCAAATAAGCTATTTGATTAAACTGTTATGACAGAAACCTATAAGGAAAGACATACTGTAACATTCTCAGAAAGTTATGAGGCTCAGTTGACAGGAATTAAGAGCAAAATAGTACTAGTAGATATATAAGGACCAGGCTTTAGCACAGCAGAATAAACACCAGCTGCAGTAAATCTTGCCAACCAAAAGATTGACAGTTCGAAGCCCAGGTCAGGGTGAGCTCCTGACCTTCAGCACAGCTCCCCAACCACCTAGCAGAAAAAAACCCAGCAATGGGAGTACATAAATAGGGACAGCCTGAAAAAGCAGGGAGATATTTAGATATGGCAATTCTATAAAAAAGGAAGACATTTACAAATAAAAAATAGCTCTTTGACAGGGAAAATGGAGTGACAGCACCCCCCCCCCAATGGCCAGAACTGCCTCCAAGATGGCAAAAGATGGGAAAGCCTATATATACCTATATCTATGTCACCTGTCTTGTCATTGTATAACCGGCATTGAATGTATGCTGTATATGTGTTCTAAGATTCTTGCCACCAAAGTTATTACATGCCAAAAATTATATATATATAATATCTTCACTGTTTTTGACCCAATTGATAACAATGTTAAGAGCAATAGTTGTTGTGCAACTCTAGGTTACATCCAGGTAGTTTTTTCTATGAGGTTGATTGGGCATATAGAGACCCTGCCCCATTTCTCTAGAGATGGCAACTACTCTCTGTGCTCACTAGAAAAATGCCTCTGTCCATAGATATACTGAGGCAATCATACGAAGATTGTCAGGGTGTTTTTAAATTCTCTCACACAAAGTATTGCAAGGAGAAAATGGAGCCCTCACATAAAAGACAATATCATTTCTTCTAGAAATATGAACCAAAGGACAGAGGTCTGAATTAAAGGCCAAAGTACTCAACTGATTTTCCCAGAAGGAGTCTCTTTCCTCTAGTTAGATGCAATAACAAGTAACCCGAGAGTGCTTCTGTTCAGGTTATTGTTTTACAGGTTTTATATGTTTGTGAAATTGAAGGCTGAAATATATGCTCACTTTTTTGACTATATAGTGAAAGGAATGTCCATCGTTCCTTTTTCCTTGCAGATGTGAATGAAAATTTCTAAGTTTTCTCCCTCCTGAGTGAGAAGAGAAAGAAGATGGGTGTACTTCTCTCTGTGATGGGAGTTTTCATGTAATCATTAAATGGTTTTTCATATTTTAGAAATGTTGTTTGCACTAAATACTATATTTTCTGCAAAATACAATATTTTTTACACCAAAAAACCCAGTTCCTCCACAAAACAACAGCAACAACAATCGAGCCACAACCCAAGAAATAGAGTTTTCCTGTTCTCATTCAGGGGCAAACTTCATGGCAGTTGGTATATTGAGACAGTCTCTGAGAAAATGTATTGATATATCCTTTCTGCTTGAGAAAAAAGAAAGTGGAAATACAGTGATATACTGACATATGAGTTTAGTTTGTTCTGTTACCAAACTCTTAACTCAGTTTGCTTGCATGACCTGTTCCAGGCCAAAGCAACAGCTGAGTCCTTCTGTGGGTGGGTGGAGCAGTTAAGAATAGTGCTCCACAGTCACCTACAGATCCACAAGAATT